GAAGCATGACTAATGGGGTACAAGAGGAAGTCATTACCAGTAACAATCTTGCAATTAAAAGCATGATAAAAACATATGCCTTCCAAATGAATCTCTTCCACCCAAAAGATGCATCCAGGGCATTAAGCAGGTTGTATCATTGTTGTAGTCGAATAGTTGTAGCTGCATTTCAATGCACCTGAGTGCACCAGCTTTGGAAAAGCTGTTCCACAGCACTGTGGAGCACCAACTCCCAGGATTCCCTAACCAGCATGGTCCTTGCTGAGAATCCTGTGAGTGAAAGATTATACATTTGGTTGGGGAAATACAGCTATGCATGAATGTATGATGTATTGCCAAAACACAGACACAAGAAAACTGCACCAATATGAACTAAAAACATGAAAGAAGGTGGGAACAATTTATTTTATTTTATTTATTTTATTTTGTTTCCTTGGTGTGGGCTTTGGTTGAGAGAATTTTGTTGCTTCAGGATGAGTAGTTGCTCAGGAAGCAGGGTGCTGATAAGGTGGCTTCCTTTACATCAGTGTTTCTCAACCCTGGCAACATTAAGATGCGTGGACTTCAACTCCCAGAATTCTCCAGCCAGTGTGCTGGCTGGGGAATTCTGGGAGTTGAAGGTCATGCAACTTAAAGTTGCCAAGGTTGAGAAACACTGCTTTACATCCTTCTATTGATCATCAGGATTTAAGCAATGATTGGGTGTCAAAATTCTGTTTTTTTGCAGAAATGAACGCAGGACAGCTTTGAACTGTAAACAATGGTCATATGGAAGTGCCCCCACCCCTATGATGACAATATATCAGCCTCCTGGACTCTTTCTTTTTTAGTAATTGTTTTGTATAGGTTTTAGGTTTTATGTAATTTTATTCTTATTTATTGTTTTAATGAGTTGTGAGCCACCCAGAGCCCCCCATTAGGGGGAGATGGGTGGGGATAAATTTAATAAATAAATAAATAAATAAATATGTGAGTGTCAGAACAAAAACGACGCTGACCCTAAATTCATCCCTGTGGATTCATTTTCCAATTTTGCTATTCAGAACCTGCTTTGTCAAATCTGCCCTTCAAACTGTTTTTGAAGTGTAATTGGAAAGAAAGCTTTCCAGCCTAGTTAACAGAATGTATAATGAAAAGCTGAAATCTTGTATAATTTATCCAGGAGAAAATCACATTGGATTCACTGGGACTTACCTTTGAGTGAAAATATATTGCACTGCATTGAGTACTATTTGTTAAGTCACTTACTGGATCATGTTCATGTGCCAATTACTCCATTTAAGACCTTCACGCATGCTGTCTGTCCCTGAAGATCATTTTATGTCAAAAGTTGGATCTGAATGTCAACAGTTTTGTGATCTGCCAAATATCTGACTCTCCAAAGAGTATTTGGAGAATTCAGCAAAGGCAAATTTTCAAAGCTGCTTTGAAAAATATTGAAATGGACTTGAAACCCATGACCATTTGGCATCTAACAAGTGAGGAGGAGAGGTTGCATTCACATTTGATGACATCACCTTTCTTTGTGGTTTCCCAGGACATAGAGGAGCCGTTGCTAAAAAGGAGAAAAAAATGTAAAAGCAAAATAATAAAACAAAAACAAGAGGCTGTGTGCCCTCTATGCACTCCACTTTGCCTAAGTTATTTGCTCCAGTTTGTCTGAGTTATATAATGAATGTCTTGGCTGATTCAATTAGAGAACATTAAGAAGTATAATTTTGGGCAACTATTGTTCTCTTTTCTCCAAGCTTTCAGACCATGCTTTGTTGACAATTAGCCAGTCATAGATTTATTATTTTTAATTTTCAAATAAGGGCCTTGGAACACAGGATTTCGGTAAGAATTTTTCTGCTTGCAGTGCTTCTTTTCATTGCAAAGGAAATCGAACATTAATCAGATGATAATGCAGCAAGGTGCTTACTAGGAGTTGACCTGTCTCTTGATGTTAAGACTCATGGCATCTAGTGGACGCTACAATGACATCATAGTAATCATGATATCATCATGCAAAAAACAAGCTTTGTGTTAGTCTCACCAGGATGTCATGATGTAAATGTCACACCGTATATTATTCATACCATTTGTATGGTGATTTTGCAAATTGAGTGATACCACTTCTCCCCACCACCCTGACATGTACAGTGAGACTAGATTGGTGAGGTCTGATACTCCAAATAATACACATTCAAGAGTTAATCTGAAGCAAGGACTGCCTTCCAGATATCAGCCCAGCCAACATGATCAACAAGCAAAGATGGTCACTATTGTATTTGCATTGCTGTGTGTAGCTGGGTTACGATGCAATTTCTTTGTTTTTTATTCAGTTTCAGGGATCTCCAAACAAATCATGGCTTGTTTTAGGCCAGGAAACCTTGTTTGAGAATGTGACCTCAAGAATGCATGGGGTTTGTTTGTTTTTATAACTTTCTTGCTTATATTACATCTGAAGACAGGCTGAGAGTTGTTTTATTGGATGAATCTTTAGTTTGATCTAGCACAGCAATTCTGATGTCAGAATGGGAAATCTGTAGCCCTCCAGAAATTCTCCCCAACCCAACACCTTAACCAATGGTTAGACTAGAATAAGGATGCAACAATGGCAGAATCGGAAGGAAGGAAGGAAGGAAGGAAGGAAGGAAGGAAGGAAGGAAGGAAGGAAGGAAGGAAGGAAGGAAGGAAGGAAGGAAGGAAGGA